CCCCTCCCCGCTATCGGGCCCGCATCAGACTTTAATCACGGCCGCGGGTTTCTATGGAGAGCAGCTCGGGCCGCTTCCTGCCTCTTCCGCCTCCTTAACTCTTCGCAAACACGGCGCTGCCATCCCAGCTGGGAGCGGGGCTCGGACACTGCCTGGAGACCGCCCGGGCCCGGCCTCCCACCACCACCCCCCCCGGCGGGCACGGCGGTCCCCACGCTGCATCCCACCGCACGGCATCGGCATCGTCCCACCCGCCTCCGGCCCTCCGAGCCACCCACGCTGCCGGCCGTGGGGCTCCGTGCCTGCCCTTTCCCCAGTTCCGGGGTCCTCGGCACAGTCCTGGGGTCCCCCTGCAGCTCCCAGAGACCACCCAACTGGAGTGGGTCGGTTGGGTCCCCACCATGTCCCTCCAGTTCCAGGACACCGGTGATGGGATCTCTTTGCAGTGCCCAGAGCTCTGGGCTGGGTAAGTGCATCTCCAGCGGCTGGTGGCACCAGGATATACCACAGCTCTGCCACCCCCCTGGCTTCTCCATGCCCTTCTGGACAGTCCCTACCTTGGGGAGGGTTAAGCCTGTGACCATTCTGGGGTCCCCAGCCCTGTCCCGATCTCTTGCCCAACTTTATTAGGGCCTGTAGAAGCTGGGTGACCCCCAACACCCACCCAAACATGCATAACCCCATTTCCACCAGCCTGTCCTGGGCAGTCCTGGGTGTTGTGAAGACAGAAGGGTGATTGGGGGAGAAATCTGTAACAGGGAAAGGGTCTGGGGTGATCTCCTCTCCCAAAAGGCACATCTGGCCAGGTTTTTCCCCATCACCCATGGCTCCAGCTGCTACATGCAGCTGTGGGGTGATGGCAGAGGTTCAGCTCTTGTCTGGGGGTACAGAACCATCGAAGATCGATGTCCCCCTGGCCAAGAGCCGACACTCTGCCGTCACCCCACAGCTTGAGGCAACCAGGCAGTGTGCCAGCAGCAGGCACTAACTCTGCTCCATGAGTCCAATGCCATACAGCCAAGTTGCCCATCAGCCCATGACCTCTCCTGCGGTGTTTCATTGATGTCTAGTAAAAGGATGAGCTCTCACGCCAGACTTAGCCGAATTTCTTGAAAGTGGTCATCGTGAGACATGAATCCAATGGAAATCAAGATACAGTTGTGTCAGACCCATGGGTATTATTTATACCGCAGCTGAAATGTGTTCTGCGTAAGAAGAAGCCACAGTGCACAGGTAGCAACACTCAGCCAGTGTGCCTCGGGGTGCCACAGCCCAACGCGGCTGGTGGCTACTCCTGGGTGGGGGTGTGCAAAGGGTTTAGGAAACAGAGGGTCCATAAGTGCTTCATCGGGGGACAGAGAGCAGATGCTGGTGGGGAGGGACAGGAGCATAGCCCACAGTACTCCCCCACCAGTTCCCCACCAATCCTGTTTGGATATAACAACCCTTAAAAAATTTTCTCTTCCCCCAGCTTGTCCCCTGAGGTCCCCACAGCAGAATGCCCCAGCTCTGTACAGCCCAACAGCCCAGGCTGCTCCCCCCATCCCTCTCCTCCTCAGCCCCTCAAGTGCAGATCTCGCAGCAGCGGCTCCGCAGCCTCCCAGACTTGCTTTCGCTGCCTGAGTCACTGGAACAAACCGCAGGCAACGGAAAACAAGCCCCAGAGACAGCGGGGTGAGGTGGGGAGGGGGCCAGGCCCACCAAGCTCCTGTCTGCCAGCAGCCCCAGTGACCAGGATCCTGCCCTAGCAAACCTGCATGGCAGAAGGCATGGGGTATGGGGGGGGTCTGGACTGAGGGCTCCTGCGTCAGCCCAGAGTGGGGGGAGCAGTTTGGGATCAGCCTGAGAAGCAGGATTAGGGCTGTGGGAGCTGGAGATGGGGGGCTGTGGGTGGCACAGGGGGTGGATACTCCAGGGTCCCTGGGAAAGCCAGTGGGTGGGGGGGCTTACAGTGGGGTGTGAGGGCACTGGTGGCTTTGGGTGACCTGGGGGCTGAGGGGTGCAGAGGGGCAGGGAGTGTGGAGTCCCAGGGGCTGGAGAGCCCTGTGCCCATGGGGAACTTTGGGCACCCGAGAGATGTGCCCCAGGTTCATGGGGAATCTGGGACATGGTGGCGCTGGGGCAGACCCACAGGATGTGGGGGGCAGGGTACATAAGGAATCCAGGGAACAGGGCTCCAGGTCCACGGAGGAGCCAGGGGATGGGGCTTCGGGTCCGCGGGCAATCTGAGAGGTGAGGGTTCAGCTCTGCGGGGCTCCAGGGGACGGGCCCGCACACTTGGAGCACCCAGCTGGCAGCAGCAGAAGGTCCCCCTGGCTGCAAGCAGGCAGTTTGCTCCCCTCTCCCCAGCCCAGTGCTGCCACCCCCACCCAGGACAGAGCAATAAAGACCCCACATTTTACCATGACCCCCACAGCTTCCCCCCCCATTGCAGGCCTATGCGCAGGTGCCCGGGACAACTTCACCTGTGAGCCGACGGTGGCGTGGAGCAGAGCCGAGCTGACGTGGCCTTGGGCTGGCTGCAGCCTGGCCGGGTGTGCAGGAATGTGTTTGTGCAGGGGGAGAGGCTGGCTGCCGTGGGGCCGTGGCGGGGTGGGGCCAGCAGGGACATGGAAGGGACAGGGGAGGGCTGGGGGGCACCCCGCAGCGGGGACGCCCTGCGGGATGGGGATGCACAAGGTGCTGGGGCTTTTGCATGGCACACGTTGGGGTGCAAGGGGAGAGGGAGCGGGGACGTGCAGGGTGTGCATGGGCATGCCGGTGTTCATGCTGCTGCGCAAGCTCATGTGTGCAGTATATGCACTCACACACACGCCAGGGCTGGAGGTCTCTGTGCAGCCCTAGATGCAGGGCGTGCACACGCCAACCCTCAGCCCAGTACTTCCCAGTCTCCCAGCACCCATCTGGAGCACCCACAGCCCTAAGGTCAGGCGTGCTTTTAGCAGGGTGGGCATCTGGGGACCCAGGCATCCAAGCCACCCAGCACTGTTCCACCATCCTGCAGCTTTAGAGGGGTTGTTCTGGGTGCAGGGAGCAACTCGGAATGGGAGCCCTGCGCCCCAGGAGGGCTTGGGGTGCTGGAGCAGGATGGAAGAGGAGGAGGAGGCTGGGAAAGGGTGCTGGAAGAGGAGGAGGAGGCTGGGTGGGGTTCCCGGTGTGCCCCAGCCAGAGCTGGAGCCGGATGCTGGCACGGATGTGGGATGTGCTGGCGTGGCCAGGCTGGGTGTGTGGGGACCCGGACCCTAAGGGTGCTGGGAGCAGTGAGCTGAGTCCCCTGCCAGTTGTGGGACACTGCCCCGAGGATCTCCTGCCCCTGTCCCCTGCACCCCCACACAACCCCTGTATGGTCCCTCTATAAGCCAGTGCCCCCAACCCTGCCCCAGCTGTGGCCATGCCATCTGTAGCAGTCCTCCCCCAGATGACCCCAATGCTCCTCCTCCTCCCCAGGCCCACAGCAGGCAGGGACCCCCCTCTCTCTTCCAAACTGGGGTGCAGAGAGAAGGGACCTCATGTTCACAGGTTTTGTAGCAATCATTTTCCCTGGGAGGAGGACCCAGGGCACAACCCCCCTGGACGATCCCTCCCAGCTCCAGTCCTTTCTTTGCCCAGTAAGGCCAGTAAGTTCCCAGTAAGTTCCCATTTCCCCAGCCAGAGCATCATGGGGGTGGGAACCAGTCTGCATCCCCTCTACTCACTATGCATGGACCAGAGGTGGGGTACAGAGAGCTCAGCCCGGGGTGGAGGTGGCCACACATCCAAAACCGCCTGGGGAAGGGGAAGCCCCTTCCAACTGCTGAGAGCTGGGGGGGAAGCAGGACTGGGGCAGGCACCCTGCCTCCCACCCCACAGGGAGTCCCCCAGGCCTGGCAGCCCCCCGAGGAGCAGAGCAGAGGCAGGAGCACCCTTTTTTTTGACAAATGCCTTTATTTGCTACCAGATAGAGGTCTATTGCACAGCAGCCTGGAGGCTGAGGGGCATGCGGCCCTGCCCCTGCTCAGTGCTGGACGCGGCGGATGGATTGGATCTGGTTGGTGTGGGCCTGGCTGCTGTATTCATTGTACTTCTTGAACTCGCCGTTCTGTCTGTCCCGCTCCAGCACGTACTGGTAGCCCCTGTATCCCGGGTACTGGTATGCCACCCACCTGCAGGCAGACCCCTGGCTCAGAGCCCTGGGCCAAATCCCCCCATCCCATCCCATCCCATCCCATCCCATCCCATCCCATCCCATCCCATCCCTCTGCTTGCCCTGGGAGGGGAGGGACAGAAAACACCCCGTGGCTTGGATTTTCAAGGGAAGAGAAGCAGACAGGCACCCATCCTTTTTGGGGTCCTCCTTCCCCATCCCTGGGACTATTCAGGAAGGAGGCATTCACTGAACCCCTGCTTTTGGCCCCCACCACACCCCTCCCTGCTGGCAAGACTCACGCTCCGGCGTTCACTTTGATGGATGCCACCTCCTTGTTGCCCCAGCCCATGGCCTGCAGCGAGGGGTAGTCGTCGCTCAGCTCAAACTTGTGCCCCTGGAAGTTCTCCGCCTCGTAGAGGATGACTTTGCTGTCATTGTGGTTCTGTGGAGAGAGCTGGGGGTCATCGGGGATGGGGTAGCTTGTGCAGGGATAGAGGATGTGGCATCAGGGAGACAAGCACCAAGGCACCGTGGGAGGCCTGGGACCATGCCCAGCTTTGGTGCAAGGCATGGGGATGTCTTTCAGCCTGGCACGCCCTCACTG